TACTAGCAATGTACCATATCAGGTTGACCTCCACGCGGTTCCCCCTGGAAACCATCGTGATAAATTCCTGGTCAATTTGTCACAATGGGCTAACTGACCTGATCTCATGTTCATCTTATCATCCTCCACTGGTGCCCGTGCAAACCATTAGTACAGGCGGGTTCACTATTCCATTATCATCCATAAAAAAAACCCCACGCTAAGCGGGGGAAAGAGGATTGTTAGTGGACTGTGGACTGATGGTCTTATAGCTAGCAATATACCTGGTGGCTTAATAAATTATTATTATTTAAATTTATTCCCAAATTGACCAGATTAGGAATCGACCCCAGAATTTAAATTATGCTAATTTTATATCTATCATCATTTATTTTTAAAATAAAGTTACCTAAAAAAAATACTGAGAACAATGCTAACTCGAAAGACATACAAATTTGAGATTAATAAGTCTAAGGAAATCTTCATTAAGTGCCTTATCTTTTAATCTTTTTGAGTTAACATCGATTTTTTGTAAAATTGGGACTTCGTCTTTTTATCGGTATTTAAATTAAACTTTCTCAAAATTGAATCACATTGATATAATAAACGCGACATATTGAGGAAGTATTGAATAACAATTTGGTACGTATATGATATATCATTAGCACATAACAACATTATTTGTACCTGAACTTAAGGGGAAAAAGCCTAGAAATACGGCTGTATAAAGTTTCTGTCAAAATACAAAAGACATTATCTTCAAATCCAATGATTGACAAGTCAAAGGAAATTCTAATTATAGTGCCTTAACTCCTGTACTTTGAAATTAATAAAGGTTCTCTATTAACCGTGTGCTGTGTAAGTTTCCTTCGCTAACTTTTCTTAATTTACTGTCTTAAGTTTAATAGAAGGAAATCTCATTAATGGCGATCTTTTGTGCCTATATGTGCCCAAATACATATTACAACGTTTTACGTTGCAATCACAATGTTAGAAATACGGACTTAAAACTATTTGTTACCACCAATTTTGCTTATCTACATCTGTTGTAAATTTACCTACATGAATAATGAAAAATCATTTTATTTCTACAATTTTTTGTACTAAGTTAGTAACTTAATAAAATATGCACAAAATTAAATTGTATGTATTACAGACACATACCTAATTGACTTAACTATATAACTCCGAGTACACTGAAAAAATGAGAACATGTGACTAATAAAATATAGTAATAACTACAAAAATATAGATTACTATTTACTAGTAGTAGTAATAAAATTATTTGAGTAGATCTAATTTGTATTAAAGTTTCATTATATTATTTATAGAGTAACTATACTAATTTATTTGATCAGTATTGTTTTAGTGCATGGCACATATCAACAGCTAAAGGAGCTTTACCCTGTACCTTACAGAGTAGAGATAAAAGTGATATCTATAGATTATTCAAGGTTATACATGATATAGTATAAATAACTTTTTGCTAATATTCACGACTTTATAGATATGTAAATAGACTGATCTACAAACATTACATTTTTAATAATCTAGCAAAAGACGTGAATGACCATAAAAATATTACAGCTGAGATATATTAAAGTATTTTTATAAATATCACAATGTAAAATTATTATTCTAATATTGTTCTTACAAGTTTTAAAAAACTGTTCTGGATTAAAATTCAATGGCCAGGATATAAGTAGGTTAGATACATATTTATAATAATTTATAGCTGAATTCACACCCGGAACAAGATGAAAACCATACTAGACGTTCATTGATCGTTGCGTTGTTTATTACGCCGTAATATTCCCAAGGTTCTATTTTCTTCGTTTAATATTTTATAAAAGACGGCTGGGGCACCACCGTTAATAAACTCTACGTTTAAATGCCAAGGACTAAGCTCCTTCGTGTAGTTGCCGATCTTTTCACTATATCACAACTTGTTATTCGACAAAAATTATTGCCTCAAAGTGTAAATTAAAGTGAGACAAAATACACAGAATCTAAAATATTTTGCGTTAATTACAAATTAAATAACAAAAAAATAATAGTACTTCTGATTTAATCTACACATTGCTGTAGTGGAAGCAGGAACAAAGTCTGACTGAATCACGACGAAAAATTTAATATCTAGAGTTGAAATAAGTTCTCATAGCATTGAATTTTTCTCCCTGACACATGATGACCTGGCACCCTCACGGCGAATCCATGGACTGCAATATGTAATAATAAAGAGTTCATATGCAGATACTTATTATATGTATGTATTAATGGTATTCCATATATTGAGATTAATTTTATTATTGTAGTAATGGAAGTTATTGACTCAAATAGAAGTATATATTTGAAAAAGTATAGTATACATATATAAGAATATACTCTACCAAGAATAAATATCAGTAAAATAATTTGTTACTAGTATCGCTACCATTAGCATTGCTATAATAATCATAATTTAGTAAGAATATATATTTACTATTATATTATTATATTTAGAACATAATTTAGTTTCATTCGTAAATTTTGGTCATTATGATACAATATTGAACGTAAGTTTTACAAATATACGCATATCAGCATTCAGCATACCAGTATCTTGTTGTTAATAGAAAATGGTGTTTGAAATACTATTTTTCCGTACACCGTCACTTGTAGCACTTTATCGTCAAACAATAAATCCGCAATTGGCTTTGTTTCATTGTATATATTTAATCTTTACAATATTTTATTTAATATATTGTATTTATACAACTCTTCTTTTGCGAACACTGAATAAAAATATTACAGTAGTTTATTGCAGTACTTCAGAACTGAAGACTTTTTTTATCCATATATAAAAATAACCCATATACCTATATATTTTAAGGGTCGCAATTTATAAATAGGCGAGGACACAAAATCCGATTCGCTGGGTATTCATTAACTCGAATTAGTAAGCTATCTTTCAAACCCCTAAATTTCGTAACTTAATATTTGGTATTCTTAAAAGTGGAAAATTAAAGTTTGTTTGAAACAGTTTTTATTTTGAAATTATACTTAAGGAGTGTAATTTCAAAATAAAATATATATATATTACGTTATGGTATTATGGGAATGTTATAGTCATATATATAAATACATATTATTGTTTTAGTAACTATTGCAAAAAAATTATCAGTACTGAAATATTAGGAAATTAAGTCGAAATTACATTACCCTTAATATATTTCCAGATATTCAGGAAGTAAAGTGTCTTCTTTTACAATTATTTTCAACGCGAAGCTCTCGGGATCTTACTCGCACTTGACCCATTTTATGTTTATAAATATTTGACTATGTTAACTATACTATGTATTCATGTAACCTGGATGTGTAATGAAAGTATCTATATATTTAATTAAAAATATATTTGGTTACTGTTCGTGCATTCTATTCTCAGAAATGGATTTCACTAATGTATTAAAGTTATTTCCATTTTTTTTATTTCAATTGGTTTACCATCAAAAAGTTATTTACGAAGCTAGTTCACAATAAATCTATGTATTGGTATATTAATAATCTATAATTGGCATATTGGTACGATTATATAAAATTGAACTTATAACTTCCTTCACAACATTCACAAAGCCTAAATTAAGCAGAGTTTGTATTATTGAAAATAAATATATTTTTGTAAATATGAGTATACATACAGACATTACCTTAGAAAATAATTACTAAGTGAGTAACATGACATAATGTCAGCGGATGACGGCATAACGGAGTCCTGGAAACATAAATTCTGCTGACAAAGTGCTCTTCAATGATGTCGCGATAATGCAAATAGCTCTAAAAAGGTTACGTTGGAAGTTTATAAATGTTTTTGATTGACTTTTGGGTCTTTTTGTGTAATTGAATTGATCAGACTAATTTGTTTAAAACATTTCGACCTGCAAACATTGTACGGTTGATGTAAAATTATAAGATATTAATTATGTATATTATTTTTAGTATGCCCTGACCAAGTAGTTCAGCTTAGTGTTTGGTGAGATGAAAGCTGAAGGATAATAGAAGGAGAATAACTTTCTCGTAATTAAAAATACCAATAATAGAATAATTTAATCAGGAAGACAATGATATTTCCTGTCATGTTGGATTCGATTATTCTCAGCATATCGAGATTTGACAATGCCTTTTATTCCCATCTACGATTATAGTCTAGAGCTTACAGGTTTAATATATTCTGAAAGTAAATTAGTATAACATTTCTCGGCTATACAATCCGAAAAACTATTAAAAATTTTATTGTTAAGTGTTTAGTTGTCTCCAAAAATCAAATTTCAAACACCACATTTACAGAAACTCATAGTAATTTTGAATTATGTTTTTATGCAATCTGGTGTTGTATATATTGTAATATGACTTAAGAAATTCAATTAAAAAGCATATTTCATTCATGACCAGTTCTCGTAGCACATCAATACGTAAACGCTAAAATTATCAAAGTTATCCGATATGTTGTTGTAGTTATTGGGTATTCTGGAAAAGCTATTAAAATTTTGTTTCGAGAATAACCTCAAACTATGACGCACACGTTTTTTGTCAGTAACGGCCTCCATTACAACATAATTACGCCATTGTCATAATTAATATATTGGTTATTATATTTATTATTTTTAAACGCGCGTTATCCTTCAAGCTTTTTTTAAATAAAGGTAACTCATAATAAAGGCTACAGTTAACATTTTACTACAGAATAACTAAACAATATTAATAGCGTCATAACATTCCACTATAATAGGTATTCAATAAAATTTATTAAGCACAGTTGAAATAGTTGACTAATTTGATTAATTTTGTTTTCCTTACAATTATTTCATAAGTCAATGAAAATGCCGGAAGTGGGACATTTAAGTTTTATATACCTATACTAATATATTAATGTATATATCTACATACCTTACCCTACTAGTACTTGTTTATAAATATAAATATAATTAATTATTATTTTAAATAAACTACATATTTTACATACAAAAAAATATATTAAGTCTTACCTTGTATTTGTAGAAAATCAATATCAATATACTTTCGTTGTAGTCGATAAACTCAATTGAATTTATGAATTTCCTATTGTAATAGTAATGATATCTTTTAAAACTATTATTTACACTAGACACTAATATTTCACTTAATAGTTAATGATAGAAATTTTAAGTTGATAGCCATTCAAATCCTTGGTCCACACATCAAAAAAGTATATATAACTATTTGATAAAGTTTTTAAAAATATTTACAATATTCTAAAAGTTTATGTAGGATATGGGGTTTAAATTTGATATATTTTTGATATTACAGGTTTCTTATTTAAATCACTGAATTGGACCGACGGGTTAAAATCTAACTATGTAGGAACTATTCACTACATTAACAGACGTATTTGGTATTAGATTTGGCTAAATACTGGGAGTCAGGTGCATTAATATGTATACGTTTTATTTAGGCGACGAAAATAAACTTTGTACATCGAATTCATCACATCCACTTGCAATCGAACGATCAATAATTTTAATTAGAGTACAGTAATAAAAGTACATTGCCGACTCGTAAGTATTAAGCAAATATCAATCGTAACACTGTGGCAGCAATGGCACCCATATTGGCATGCGAAATATATTTACGTCCGCATGAACGTTATAAAATACGCGGTGAGGTAATGGGCGGCGTACTCTCACATCCGCGCGCCCTGCCGCTCCGTAGCGGACTGAAAGCTTTTCCTACACTCCTGTTACAGACATGAAAAAGCACTCCATATTTTCATGATTTTCAATAAGTGCGAAAGAGATAACTATATATATGAGAGTTTCTAGTTAGGGATCATGCTTCACTGGAGTCTACAAGAAGGAAATGCGAAGGTGTTCGTATCAAAATAAACATGCAACGTACCGTCTGGTTTTGGTAAGTAGCTTGCAAATCAAATGCAATTGGTTAGACTATTTTGTTTATGACATAATTTCGGAGTGTTACTTAAAATATTTAGTATAATATATATATTATACTAAATATTTTATGTAAAACCGAGGGAAACGTTTTTATTATTGTGAATTATTATTATTATTTTAATCAAAATATCAATTAAAATATTGCTACCATATTTTTGTTACATAGTTTTCTTGTAGTTATTAATGTACGTGACTGAAACACACGTAATTAAGAGCTGACTCAGGTGACTAATTTAGTTCGTGGTCACAGTACAGTAATCTATTTGAATACTAGAGATAACTAGGTAGTCATCAAGTGTATGGATACTGCACTGTTTCCCCTATTATTTACATCACAGTACGTCTAGATTAAATATTCCGGTTTCAAAGGTGAGGTAATATTGCAGTGAAATTATTGAGTAACAACTAGGGTACAAGATAGAAGATCGCAATGACTTACTATCAAGTAAATACTTTGTATATAGACCATTGAGCTTATATTGATAACACTGCATAGATATAATCATAAATTCTAATTACTATGGACCTCACGCTGTGAAGCAAATAGCTTATTTGCCTAATAAAGATAAAAAATAAAAATCTAATTTTCAATACTGAGTCTCAACATAAAATTATATTGAAAAAAAATACTAAGGAATTAAATATTTAGAGAAATAATAAATCATTATAGTGAAAGTCATTACTGAACGGTGTGCTGGCAACCTATAATTTTTATTATTTCAAAGCAAGAATGAGACAAGTCATCTAATAATTGAATGTTTAGTTTCCATCTATTCACTCTAATATCATTTATTCACTTTTTAATAAAAATGTTTACTTTAATAAGTGATAGTATATATCTTGACATAGACTACTACTATCACTTATTAAAGTCAACAAGTAGCATAATATTCTTACCATCAAGTGCGGCTAGTTATTTCTGTCGAGATAAATTTGCAAGAAATCACCGGTAAATGATTTTGTAAGAGCGTTTTGAATTAGATTTAATGATATGTCTTACATATTTAGTGCTGGCTGTATTCCGCGACTAAATTGGTCAAAGTCATAGAACCTATCAAACAGATATATTTACTTTCGCATTTGTAACATTAGTATGTATTTCAAATTCCGTGCTTGAACAACTAACGCCTTGAACGGTCGTCACCTAACATCTCACATCACACTACTCGACCAATAATAAGGTCAACTAATTATTGATCTTATTACTGTTAATAAGCTATAAGAAGAGGTTAATAGTTGTTTAGTACTTAGAACATCAATCAAGTCTGACAGCGGTCGATAGTCATCTTTCTAATCTTTGGCAAAGTTAACCAATCCATTTCTGAGACCTCTTTACTTGAACTGAGTAAAATTGATGTCATACTGAAAGGGATTCAGTTAACTAATAGATAACTAGAATATGAACACATATAAATATAGAGCAGAATAAAAATATTACCTAATGGAATTGATTTTCTTAATAAGATTAATATATATACAGTTTAATTCCCAATATATAATATCATCGTTTATGAAATACTACTTACATATTTCACTGACAAGCAGTTTGCTGTTTTAGTTTAATGGTGAAATAATACAATTTATATTGTAATATATATTTACTGTATTATCATTGAAGCAGGCAACGGATTTTGATACCATGGTAATTGCGAGAATTTCTTGTATATATTATTCAGAGTAGCTCACAGAGGTCCGTGAGCTACTCTGAACAATTACGTAGTTTTAATATAAAAATGGTTAAGTGTGACTTACAGTCGTACCGGTACAAAGCCACAAACTTGTGTTGAAACTGCTGTTTCAAATTACTAGATTGTTGTAAACTCACGAGAAATAGTTTCCTTATGTTCTAACATACTAATATAAGCAATTTTAAAGAGTCATTTTGATATTGTTCCGCCTATTCCGAATGTAGATTTAGCCAAGAAGATGGGAAAGAAATTTGCCTGTTGCTCTTTTAAATAAATATCTTTACGAGAGCAACAGGCGAGCAACGTTTATCTTTATTCTTTCATAATCAAAAGTGGAAGTAAAAGTCTTTAACCAACTAGAAAACAATTTTTTCATCAAATCTGTTTCAAGTTTGAAGATACGACTTCAATTGTTTTTACTATGGACTATGCTAATTTCGACACATTTTTGTAATCGGTTTTTGTAATTGTAATGGAGCGTAATTTCAGATATCGTAACAATATGATGTATATTATATTTAGAATCACATGACACATGAAGTAACATATATATTATAGGTAGAAACAATTTGGTCTGTCATAAATTTTTCATTACTTTCTTTTTTCATCAAAGAGATTTGAGCTGATATTAATATTTATTTTTAAACAGGAGCTATTATTTTTTCAATATTCAATGTCTTGATTGCTACGCGGCAGATGTTGGTATTATTAATGCAACTTGAATAAATTTATTGAAAATTAATATTTGTCTTTTCCAAATTTGTAATAATATTATATGTATATCTATTGATCCTATCAATAGCATATTTTAAGTAAACTTGTAACATAAATAGCAATTTATATAAATAATTAAAGTAGTAAAAAAACTAGGGAATGAGAAGAAAGAACCTAGTGTTTTACTACTGTCAATTGTACTTCATAAACCTGAGTTCGAATCTAACCAATACAAATTATCATCATAATATGTTATTATCATCATATCATATCACCATCATCACCATCATCATCATCATATCATATCATCATATTATGTCAATTTACATATCAAATTAACTTTCCAGTGATGAAAATACTGCTAATAAAATAAATTAATCCAAGAAATGGCAGTATGCTTACTTCGTAATATAATTTGTAGTGAATATAAAATAACTCATTGTAAAAAAAATAAAGCAACGACAAGATTTAACAATCTATATATATGATACAACCTAAGTCCCTGCCAAGGCCTTTTAAATAAACCCGAAACCTAAATTGTAAACTTTCATTATAACATCAAGATTAAATACTGGAAAAAACGATTTAACTAACTTTACCGCAGTTATGCCTTCTAATTTTATTTGAAGCATGAAATCGAATTGTTTAATGACGCGGTATTGTCGAAAAGTGTACAGACTTAAAATTAGTCTTTTAACATTTAAACTCAAATTAATTTCAAGTTCATAATTTAAACTCTATACTAATATTATAAATATTTCTGTTTCCTTGTTCCCTTTTCACTATTAAATGACTGAATCTATTTTCACATCAAAATTCATTAAGAACTGTTTAATGAAATTTGATATGAAAATATTACGAGTAAAGATATAGACTATTTATTATTTTAAAACGAAAAGCACAAAAACCTTCACTAGCTTTAATGATAGGCATCTAGTGTACACTTTTGCTGCCAATAAGGTTAATATACAGGAACTACATATATTTTTTAATGAAGTAAAATTTTGATACCTTATGTTTTAATATTATTGTATTCACTATTACTGAACTATTACATTTACGCTTGGTAAGTAGGTTACTTGCCCTAATATGATAGAATAAAACAGGTTGATATGCCATATATGACAGTCGCCATTTTTTTTTTAAACCCTTACACGCAACTGACGTATATCAATAGTATGTACAGTACGAGGAAAATGTTTGAACATTTCCGAAAAAATCAATGACCGGTAATTTGTTTCTTTGCGATATTACTTATGTACATGTCAATGGTTCAGTCTGTATATGTAAAAGAACAAAATATGTATAAACATTTGTACTACTAAAATAAGAAATATCTCGATTCGACAAAATTATTTTGAATAGTGAAACTCAATATCGGCAGTTACTATACCACAGATAACATAAGATTATTTATTACAAATCAATAAGGATTTCTTGCTTGTTGATTTAATATCAAATTCATTACTATTGGTATATTCAGTATTTGGTATTTATTTATTCCAATACAAAATAACGTAAGAAATCTCTATTTAACAATAAGGGCGCCCATTGTTGCCACTACATTGTATTCGTTATATATGTTTGGTATACATATTAATTAATGAAATTGATATTTTCTTTCTATGATTAAAACAATAAAGAGCTTTTCATAATTATACCATCAAACTACGAGCATCCTCTTTTTGGCAGTAAGGTCAAAAATTCATAAGTCACCTAGTCATCTTTCCATAATGACAGAACAATTAAATATAGGATTATTTTTCCTTTATAAATTTCTTTATTAAAATGAAAACTCAGCTATCTGTCCATTGTCAGACAAGCA